CGAAGCAACAGTGTGACCGGGCAGAAAGGAAAACAAAACAAAATAGTGGGGGGGACTGATATTGATCGATTGGGCGCAGAGCGCCAGACTGCCAACAGGTACTTTACAATTTAAACAAACCAACTGAGCGCGGAGAGCGGTCCGTGTCCTGTCCCAGACATAGATAGTAGAGGGGGGAGAGGCGACAGCGACAGAATGTCACTGTAGAAAAGACAGTCAGTAAATATTATCGAAAATCATTTGGACGCGGGAGGGAAGGCATTCCAATGATGCGCACGCCACGCCACTTGGCTCGCGGCTCACGTCGCGGGAGGGGACGTGGGGCCGGGGAGGGCTCCTTCCTACACATGGCAAGCATAGCACAGCCCGCCAGCCGCAGCCAGTGTGTGGCGTACGACAAACTCTGAACTTACGCGCCGTCGTCGTTTGAAACGTATTTTCTCTAAATCTGAAAATTCGAACACGCGACGACGCACTGATACACTGATAAATACACCACACACTCAACCAAACATGCACGTTTGACACAGCTGTGAAAGCTTTGTTATTGTTTGCGCACAGGGCAACCTAACCTAAAAGACGAACACTCGCGCTCTCGTTGCTTTCTTTAGAAAACTACGTCGACAAACAGTACCTGTCCTTCAAATTTCTTCATTATGTTCGAACCTCACGGCATGTGAAATTGAATGCAACGCGCGACCGAGGGCAGGAGATCGACACTTACGTTTCAAGTAAGGGGGTGTCTGGCGGCAAGCCGGGCGACTGCTGGCTGGAGCAGTCTAAGTTGTCGGCCCTGCGCACCGGGCACCGGACGGGCGGACGGAGACGGACGACGGGCGGACCACAGGGCCTAACTCAGCCGTAGTAGATGACAAAGACAAAAACCGCTGGCCGTGCAAAAACAAGCTTCTGGTGTGGGGGCTTGGCGCGGCGTGGCTGCGGGCGGGCGGGCAGGGGACCGCTACTGGTGACCACTGCAGCTCCAGCTCCAACCTCGGTCAAACGATCAACTGGCAGGGCGGCCCAGTGGCCGCTGGTGACTGAGGGCGAGGGCCAACTCGCACCACCAAAAGTAAATGTTTTTCTGCACAGAAAAGACAGACAAAGTAATAATAACAACTAAAATTGTTTCTGCTGTAGAGGCAGAGTGTGCGAAATTCAAACAACTGACATTGCCGCCCCGATGAAGCGGTGCGCTGCTCTCTCGTGCGGCACGTCGTCCTGGCCAGAGGTGAAGTGAGGCGACAGGACAGCGGACGCCGCCGGGCGGGGAGATACGCGCCGGCGTCCCGGGGACATTAGTATTCGCTGCTCGGTATTCAACCACTGCTTCAGTATTTCCAGAGGTAGTGTGGCGTGGTAGTTGGGGAGGGGGTATTTTTCTGCCCTTGAGTCTAAAGAGGTTCTGAGCAGGGCAATCACCTCGCGCTTCCGTTCGTGGGAATCACCCGTTGGTGGTGATGGTGGTCTAGATGCTGCTGGAGGTGATGAGCACTGCTCAAGCCACTGGGCGGTGTCAGCCGAAAATGTTGCCAGCTAGAGAAGTCGAGCTGTCGAGCTGCAGCCGGCAGACGCGTCGCAAACTTGCACGAGGAAGTTGCCCGATAAGAGGAACAATGCTATATTCACTTAAGCGGTCATATGCGAGAGCGTACTCGAGAGCGTAAAGCGTAAGCGTAAAGCGCACCGCTTTGGCGTAAAAGAGCGGAGTGGGGGTACGCACCCTAACCTCATCTTGGCGCATATTTGGTTTTGACGAGTGTTGAAAAGCATTTTCTGGAGTTGTCATACATTCAGACTATGTTGTGGTGATAATCTGACCATGTAAAGTAGGTGTCATACGAAATATGTGCCAATGTAAGGTTAAGGCGCATCCCCCCACTCCGCTCTTCTACGCCAAAGCGGTGCGCTTTACGCTTACGCTTTACGCTCTCGAGTACGCTCTCGCATATGACCGCTTAAGTGAATATAGCACAAGAAGAAGGTAGCACTGAGGAGGTGGCGTGGCGTAGCGCCGTCGCTAAACAAAGCAGAAGATGAGCGACCGTCTAGCAGAGGTTAGGATGCGTGACTGCCTATCTATAGGGACCTACCCCTTGATCCTGGCGGTCGGAGAAAAGCTACTCAGAAGGAGGGGCGAGAGTAGAGTGGACGTCGTGATTGTCTCGCGGAACAGATTAATAGACCATTCCAGGAGGGGACACTAAAATAAAAGGGGGGGGGTAACCAGCACAGGAAATGGTGCGACGTGTTTTGGCACGGTCGAAATGAGGCCTGGGCCCAGGGGATGCCCAGGCGAGTCGGGGTCCCAATCTCAGTGGATAGCCTCGTGAAACAAGGTTACTAGAAAACCTAGGGCTTCCCCCACAAAAAAGTGCTCTTTTCCAGGGCATCCCCTGGAAACTGATGAAAACTCCTGAGAATGGTCCGTCATGAGGCGTCACCGGGCGCCTGCGCGTGTTGAACACACCGGTATCCCCCACAACTCCGAAGTTGAATATGCGTTTTTGGTCCCTTCGGGTCCCTTCAACAGAGACTTGACAGGGCAGGGGTCGTTCAAGGCAGGGGAAAGGGACGACCAATCACCGACCGTTCTGTTTAACACACTTCTTGTCGCACCAGCTGAACTGAAAAAGAGAAATACAAGTACGCGGCAGCTGTGCTGCTGGTGCGATGAGCAGGTCACGACAGTGATGTTGGTCGCCTCGAATCACCCTTCGTTCTGATTCACGACTGTAGCCGGAGGCAAATCCGACACGCCGCAGCCTGGACCCACTTGGGCCGCAACCCGGGCCGGGCCGGCACTCCACTCGGGCTTATCCGGGCCATGCAGCTGTCGTTTCGTACGGCAATGACCGAAGACTGTGTTAGTAGGGGACCGGGCCTTCGTGGCGTGAGGCGGGGGGCGGCGGAGAGGCGGGGCGGGGGGCAGGGCGGGGCGAAGTCGCTGAGAGAAGGGATTGTAGAAACAGAAACGAGGTGTACTGTACATTTAAATTTCTCAGCAGGAAAACACAATAAGGAGTCATGGTTACAGATTATAATGCACATATCATCGCAAGTGCGAAACAAAGCAAGTAGTGTTCTGTTCATTCCCCTAGAGAACACGTTTTTTGTCAAAATGACCTCAACTTTATCTCAGTGTCAAGATTTGGTATTTTTGGTGACCTGCGTTGTCGTCAATTTGACATCAAGTCATATCATTTGATACCAAACTGTGCCAAAATGGCAGAATCTTGACACGGGCACCACTTCCTGTCATTTTTACGAAACCGTGTTCTATGGGCCGGTCTGATATACGAGTCTATAACTTTGATTTTGATCTATTGGTGCATTTCCAACTATATCACATATCACATCTTCGCTTAGCCCCTTGCCCCGTTTTTTGGGGTCTTTTTTCCCCTCTCCTTGAAACCATTAAAATGAACTGGAACCAGGATACTGGAAAGGAGGGCGGGATGGACATTCCCTGCCGCCACGGCCCTTCTCTCCTGCCCTCCCCTCCCCCAGCGCCCAGCCGCCGCGCGCCTGCCTGCTCCCTTTAATACTTCACAATATCTCTAACGGTTAGGGAACCTCCTTCAGTTGAACGCAGGCTGCTGAAGCGGCCCGTGGCGGCCTATAGCAGCAGCCCTGCCTCGTAATGACATACTTCCACTCCCCTGCGCCCCTGCGCCC